GTCGTGTCTCGACTTTAACCCGTTCCATCCCAAACTCAAATATTTTTCGAGTTAAGTCAAGAGGTTCGGAAAATTTATATTTTCTACTTATTCTCTTACTACATAAAATAATAATAAGTTTCATAAAACATCTTTGGAAAAATTAAAAAAGAAATATTATTTAATCATAATACATTAATTTTGCTTCAAAAAGTAAAACTCGCGTGTAAATAATAGTGGATTTACAAAGGTATCTCAAAACATAAAAATTGTCTTTTTTAAAAGTTATATTAATTTAATTACGAAAACAACAAATAATAATATACAATTTATATAATTTAATAAAATAAATATATTTATTAATATAAAATAAAATTAATAATTAGTAATTTGCAACAAAATAGCCTCGACTCACCTCCTCTCCGCAGCGTGTTTCCTCTGGACTTGGTGGGAATTTTTGTTTCGAGACCACCGAGCCCCGAGTATCGATCGGGATTAATCGCGATGCGATGATGCGACGCGCAATGGCACTGGCATACAGAGACGACTCTCGATATCGCACTCTCGAGTTATCTCGTCACGTACACGCTCTTAAGTAACCCAAGATAAAAATATCGTATTTACAAGCTATATAATATTGGCTGTTTTTATATGTATATGTGTGTGGGTGTGTGTGATATCGCGCGGTATTGTCATTCAAATTGAGCGTCGCGTGTGGGGTTTCGCCGTCGCTCGCTGTTTCTCTCCCTCGAAATTTTCTCCTCGAAGATGATCGCCTTCGCGAGACATCGAAATCACCGCCGTAAATCTAATACGATGTACAATTAAATATTATCGTTCGCGTTAAACGCTACTCGCACAAACGCCGCTGTTACAAATACCACCGCGCACGCGCGAACGTAAAGAAGACTAATTTATGACGCACGGATTTTTCATAAGTTTCCTCTGTGATTTCACGCCTTAAAACGCAACGCTTTGTTCTTTACATCCTATATATACTTACAACAAACAATCTTTTTTCTTTTATATCAATAAAGTCGATTCGCTAAAATACCGGGTATGCCGATGAAGCCCGATTCTCTTTGCTCCTATCTAAGTACTATACATAAGAGAGAGAATTTGTACAATATTTTTATCTTTAAATAGAGAGAGATAAACTTCGATAACGTACCGTGTATCGTGGCCTTTGCAAAAATTACAATTTTAAGAGTAAAACGATGTGAATTTAACGAGTCGCTCGAGGAACTCCCAAAGTAAAAAATAAACGTCTTATCATAATTAATAAGAATGATCGGATTGTATCATAAACACATATTCAATCATGAGCGGATATAAAAAAGGAAATAACGCAAAATATCGTGGGAAAAAAGGAGGATAATTCTTCTTTTAGTGTTATCCCAAAATCATTTTCGCATATTAAGATTATAGTACGCTAATTAAAAAAATAATTTTTTGCCGACTTGCCAATAATAACATTTCTTTTTAATTAAAGATCTACATGTGGATATAGATAGCTCTCTCTTTTAGATTATCACATTTTGTAATATTAAAATTCTACAGAGATTTTCAGCAATTCCGGGGACGATATTTTTCTCAAGGAAGATGAGAATTGTCACTTTAAAGTGCATATCGTGTTTTGCACTGTAGTCCGAAAAAATAATTTACATAAATGATTTTAAAAAAATTCATTATTGTAGGAGACAAAATCAAACATCCGGAATTCTAAGAAGACCATATAATAATTTAAGGATTAGGGCTACGCGAGAACAACCGAGATAAAACCACGTCTTGCCGGCTATAATTCTCGAAAGTCACAAAAGAGTTCGACGAAAGCGACGCGTCGTGGGGTTTAGATCTGCGATGCACGTGCAAGAGTTAGCGTCGTCTCCAGACCAAAGGGGATATTTCCGAAAGAATGTTTTACGGGCTACGGACTTGGAGAGCGCGCAGCCTCGGCTAGAAGAGGCGTCAAGACGAATGACTAAGGCCTATGGCATGACTCGACTAATAGCGAGTACTCGACGCGAAGATTGATTCGAGATAGCGATGGGAGATCCACCAGCTCTCTCCCTCATCGTTGATTATAAATGCTAATTTATGAATTTTTTGCCGACTTGCCAATAATAACATTTCTTTTTAATTAAAGATCTACACGTGTGGATATAGATAGCTCTCTCTTTTACATTATCACATTTTGTAATATTAAAATTCTACAGAGATTTTCAGCAATTCCGGGGACGATATTTTTCTCAAGGAAGATGAGAATTGTCACTTTAAAGTGCATATCGTGTTTTGCACTGTAGTCCGAAAAAATAATTTACATAAATGATTTTAAAAAAATTCATTATTGTAGGAGACAAAATCAAACATCCGGAATTCTAAGAAGACCATATAATAATTTAAGGATTAGGGCTACGCGAGAACAACCGAGATAAAACCACGTCTTGCCGGCTATAATTCTCGAAAGTCACAAAAGAGTTCGACGAAAGCGACGCGTCGTGGGGTTTAGATCTGCGATGCACGTGCAAGAGTTAGCGTCGTCTCCAGACCAAAGGGGATATTTCCGAAAGAATGTTTTACGGGCTACGGACTTGGAGAGCGCGCAGCCTCGGCTAGAAGAGGCGTCAAGACGAATGACTAAGGCCTATGGCATGACTCGACTAATAGCGAGTACTCGACGCGAAGATTGATTCGAGATAGCGATGGGAGATCCACCAGCTCTCTCCCTCATCGTTGATTATAAATGCTAATTTATGACTTCTTCACGCCACGCTCGTCTCTCCTCTTCCTTCCTCCCGTTCCTTCGATTTCATTCCTTGCCATATAACAAAACACTTATCTATCTATCTATTTCCCGCCCCCTCCCCTTTCCCCCATCCTTCCCTTGCGTCTTTCATTCTCTCTCTCTCTCTCTCTCTCTCTCTCTATCGCACTCTCGAGTTATCTCGTCACGTACACGCTCTTAAGTAACCCAAGATAAAAATATCGTATTTACAAGCTATATAATATTGGCTGTTTTTATATGTATATGTGTGTGGGTGTGTGTGATATCGCGCGGTATTGTCATTCAAATTGAGCGTCGCGTGTGGGGTTTCGCCGTCGCTCGCTGTTTCTCTCCCTCGAAATTTTCTCCTCGAAGATGATCGCCTTCGCGAGACATCGAAATCACCGCCGTAAATCTAATACGATGTACAATTAAATATTATCGTTCGCGTTAAACGCTACTCGCACAAACGCCGCTGTTACAAATACCACCGCGCACGCGCGAACGTAAAGAAGACTAATTTATGACGCACGGATTTTTCATAAGTTTCCTCTGTGATTTCACGCCTTAAAACGCAACGCTTTGTTCTTTACATCCTATATATACTTACAACAAACAATCTTTTTTCTTTTATATCAATAAAGTCGATTCGCTAAAATACCGGGTATGCCGATGAAGCCCGATTCTCTTTGCTCCTATCTAAGTACTATACATAAGAGAGAGAATTTGTACAATATTTTTATCTTTAAATAGAGAGAGATAAACTTCGATAACGTACCGTGTATCGTGGCCTTTGCAAAAATTACAATTTTAAGAGTAAAACGATGTGAATTTAACGAGTCGCTCGAGGAACTCCCAAAGTAAAAAATAAACGTCTTATCATAATTAATAAGAATGATCGGATTGTATCATAAACACATATTCAATCATGAGCGGATATAAAAAAGGAAATAACGCAAAATATCGTGGGAAAAAAGGAGGATAATTCTTCTTTTAGTGTTATCCCAAAATCATTTTCGCATATTAAGATTATAGTACGCTAATTAAAAAAATAATTTTTTGCCGACTTGCCAATAATAACATTTCTTTTTAATTAAAGATCTACATGTGGATATAGATAGCTCTCTCTTTTAGATTATCACATTTTGTAATATTAAAATTCTACAGAGATTTTCAGCAATTCCGGGGACGATATTTTTCTCAAGGAAGATGAGAATTGTCACTTTAAAGTGCATATCGTGTTTTGCACTGTAGTCCGAAAAAATAATTTACATAAATGATTTAAAAAAAATTCATTATTGTAGGAGACAAAATCAAACATCCGGAATTCTAAGAAGACCATATAATAATTTAAGGATTAGGGCTACGCGAGAACAACCGAGATAAAACCACGTCTTGCCGGCTATAATTCTCGAAAGTCACAAAAGAGTTCGACGAAAGCGACGCGTCGTGGGGTTTAGATCTGCGATGCACGTGCAAGAGTTAGCGTCGTCTCCAGACCAAAGGGGATATTTCCGAAAGAATGTTTTACGGGCTACGGACTTGGAGAGCGCGCAGCCTCGGCTAGAAGAGGCGTCAAGACGAATGACTAAGGCCTATGGCATGACTCGACTAATAGCGAGTACTCGACGCGAAGATTGATTCGAGATAGCGATGGGAGATCCACCAGCTCTCTCCCTCATCGTTGATTATAAATGCTAATTTATGACTTCTTCACGCCACGCTCGTCTCTCCTCTTCCTTCCTCCCGTTCCTTCGATTTCATTCCTTGCCATATAACAAAACACTTATCTATCTATCTATTTCCCGCCCCCTCCCCTTTCCCCCATCCTTCCCTTGCGTCTTTCATTCTCTCTCTCTCTCTCTCTCTCTCTCTCTCTTGCTCAATATTTTTGATTCACCCTTTCACTCACGCATACACGCACGCAACAACTAACAAGCTCCTTACACGTATAAAATCTCTCCCTCGACCACTTTAGCGAGCACCAAGTTTTAACGCCCAGTGGACGTTCCTGGACGTTGTCGGGCTACTCGGCGCCTCCGTGATTCTCTGAATGAGCAACGTCTTTATTACGCCTTTTCTCCTTATTCTTTCCTTCTCGCTTTTCCCCCTGCTCGTCTCCGAGATTTCCTTGCCTCCGACGAACAAGACGACGTCCTCTCACCGCCCATCCACCCTTCTCTCGCTTCGCGCGTTATTCTACCACCCTCCGTCCAACTTCATTAATGACTGCGCTTAATTCTCCCTTGACTCTCTCTCTCTCTCTCTCTCTTTTTTCTCCTTTCATGATTCTCCTTTCCTCATTCCTCGTTTCGTGTACAAAAGCCGTTAGTCCTGACTGGAAATCTCGATTTCTCGCGAATACCGATTTAATGAAACGCGAGTGTAACAGACACCGATGACAAGGAACAACGAGACTTCCACGGTCATCATCGTCGCGTCGAAACGTCACGAATACCTAACCGGATTAATAATGGCATTGACGTGAGAGAACGATGTTCGCTACCTCGCGGATTTGCGATTCCGAGATTAACTTCACGATCGACAACAGGGAGACCAGAATCGTCCCGTGTCTTCTTCGCGGCATCGCTCGATCGTTTTTACTCGCGCGTGAATCGGGCCTGCGGATCGTCGAGGGGCGCCGCGACGTCACCGCTCGAGCTGTAATATTATGCGGAAGCTAGCTGCCGCCAGATAGAGTGTCACATCGTAGACGGCATGTAGGGCCAGTTGAAGCTGTTACCGCTCAGCAGCATGTCCCTGATGAGGGTCTCGATCGGCGTCTTACCAACCAGCCGCACGAAGAAGAGCTGCTCGATCACCTGCGACGAGACCGTCCGCAGCGATGGTAGTCGCAGCAGCAGCTTCCCGAACCTCGTCGGCTGATTCGGATACTGGCTCCGACAGTACTCCTCCAGCGCGCACTGCGACTTCTCCTGGAGAGACTCGATGTGCGCCACGTCTGAAAGACCGCAAGCGTCTGCAAAAAAACGAAAGAGAAGGATGTTTAATCACATTGTCCAAAGAAAATTATTTTTGTCTATCGGTAAATAATTATTAAATCAACGCAAGAATTCTGTGATGTAACTTTTCACGAAAAACATCCTTTATATTTCTCTTTAGCTTCCACGCGATATGATATTAGATCATCTTCGATCTTATAATTGATCTTCAATATTTGATCATCCAAGAGAATTATAACTAGATTTATATTATATTTCTTTTATTAGTATATATCTTATATATCTTATATTATGTATATATTAATATATATCTTATATTATAGTGAACTTTAAGGCGTTATAAATAGGCAGATAAAAAAAGAAACGTAGCCGTGATATTATGATGAAAAGCAAATGGAGTGAAAAGATGAATCAGAGTTCTGAAGTAAAATCATTTATGTCTGTGAACATTGAACTACCCTGCAGATATACGTCATAAGAAGCTTAGCACATTTTCTCGCGCCTTGACCTTAATCTCTCGTTCGTGTTCGCAGTCGATGGTAGAAAATCTCAGTTTTTCCGCTCCGAACGATCTCTTCGTTAGGCGAAGCGCGTTTCTCGATACGCGCGGCAGGCGATAACTGTTGCCGTTTAATCTACGCGCAAAGAAGAAGCACCTACGCTTTATTATCGGGCTAATTATCGTTGTTGCCCATTAACTAAGGCATGATTAGCGAGCCGGAGAGTTCCTCTCTAGCGATGTAGAATAGAACGGCCGTCGCGCGATTATGGTGGAGCGGAAACGGAGAGAGGAAGAGAAAAAAGAAGAAGAAATTAAACGTAACCTACCGCGAAGATGATGAGCGAGCGGTCAAACGGACGGAAATCGAACGGAAGTGTTTTTGCAAGGGCGTTTTTATCCGCTAAATCGAAATTATCGATATCAATTAGCGTTAATTAAATATATCTAATTAAAAAAATGTACGAATATTCTTATTTTGGTCAAATCCAAGAGCGACTTATCCGATTCTTTGTCTTTTATCATGAAATTGTAATAGATAGAAAGAGAGAATTTAATTAATTATGATCGGCTAATTGACAAATTCGGCCATCTTAAAATACGGTTACTATCAATTTTAATAATACTATGTAAATAAGAAGAAACGATTTAGATCAATGTTGTCAGATTCGGACCGTGCTACAGGTGTGATACACCATTTCGACGCGAGGATTAAGGCTCTCATAGGGTTGCAGCGAAAACCGCCTTTGGGCAGATGAAACTGAAATCTACATTGGAATGCACGTGCCATCCGGAGATAGTGCAAATGTCAGACTAATCACGTGGGCCATCTGCTCACTTCGGTGCTCCTCATGAAACTGCGCCATTGTTTCGCGCAGAAAATCCAGTCTCTCATTCGTGCAGAGGGCAGAGAGAAATGGTGCGTATAGTTTGCCCAAATATACCGGGTGTACCGTGACAACAGTATTATCTTACCCTTAAATCCAACTATAATCTAAATAAAATTAATTAGAGCTGAATTTATTTGCAAGTAATAGATATTTTTTTTTCATTCACGTGAAAGTATAATCTCGTTTAAACTAATAATGTTTTAAAGTATACAATGTAATTAATTTATATCTCTGCGTCTCTAAAAGAATTTTAAATTACATTGGTCGATTATTAGCACCTCGAGATGCTCGTCTCTCCCGCACGCAACTCGTCACGCACGCATCAAGGCATCCGTCTCATCATTTGCGTTTTTCCGTAAAACGAGTACTGCGTATTGTGACAAATCGCTTTATCGGGAGGCGTGCATGCGTGTGCGTGAAAAATCGTATCTGTCCACGCGCGTATAAATCGACGGGGTACCGATGATGGAAGAGCCGGGCGTGTGTCGAGGGGGTTGGGGATTCCTTTTTGCAAACTCTGCGTATACGACGGGAGGAGATACATTGTCGTTTCTCGTTACGCGCGATCCTCGGCAAGGCACGGAACGGCACGCGGCGCGTACATAAACGCGCCACAGACGCCAGATTCCTTTGTGGCGTGGACCACGTGCGCATAATGGGCTATTACGCCAGTACGTAGGGAAATAATGCGATTCTCGCGCATTTGCATTTCCGTGCGACAACGTCTGCGCGACGACGATGCGGAAACGATGCGCGGGAATGAACGAAATTGCACTCCGCGACCGAAACCGCAAAGTTTGCCAATTATTGGAATAGATAGGTAGGCGCAGTGAACGACCGGACACCGCCACAGTGAATGACCATTGATTTTACAACTACCTCTGTGTATATGTACATGGCGTGGCGAAGGATAATATAATTACATTTCTGAAAGATGGAAAAAAGTAACATACATCTCTATTTTTAATTATTTTATATGTATAATCATAAATTAAAATTATGCTATTTATTGAGAGATGGAAAGTTACTTATTAATAAATTGTAAATTATTTATATATCAACTTTATCACAAATTGTTGATCATTTTGATATTGGATAAACTGGAAGATTGTCTGTCTAATTGAAAAAGATCGCAGCAATATTTATCGGAGACATATTTTCTTTCTTTTTTTCTGAGTCCATAATGAAATCACAAAATTATGGTATATCTATTTAATAAGGGTTTAATCCATATTTATTATTATAAGATAATATCTGATAATTTGATCGATAGATAACGATTTACTCACTTAATTTTAACGCATGTTAATGCATGTTATATCTAAATGCATTCATTCATGTACTTTGCTATTTATGCTTGCGATATACTTGTTTGCATATTATTGTCGAGCGCTCGAGGAAATCTGTGTCTTACCGAGATCTTAACAGATCTTTCATTATAGCTTACGTATTCTCAAGGAACACAGTTTACGCCATAGGTATTAATTTTACGCGAACGATTTATAAATACACATGAACTATTTCTCGAGTAAAAATTGATTTCACGCGGATCTCTCTATTTTAAATTATTCGATAGATTCTTTTGTCGCATCTACGTAATTAAAGAACGCGACGCATTCGTAAAAATATCAGATTATGGATAATGAAATCTAAAAATTATATGTGACAATTGTTACAAGTAAGCTAGATCATTAAACAATTTAACGGATAAATGACAAATAAATAATTCAACAAACGTTTCGGTCCAACTTTTGGAAACTAAATGTCAAAATAATCAAAGAGGAGCTTTACGTCACAAATGACGTTAGTCGACGAAATCCGGACGCGATCGGCTCGACGTGTACCCGTATCAGTCTCGATCGACGAGGATGATCAATTGAATGGGAGAGACCGCTAGGAATCCGCCAACGCTAATAAACAAACTGTCGGATTGGCTCTACACGATGTCGTCAGCGCCAATTCACCACATCAGTTCGAATAATGCCGTGCTGAGTGGCGTCTCTGGTTTCCTTCTCGTGTCATTTCTCTCTCTCTCTCTCTTCTTCTATCTCTCTCATTGCACGCGTTAACCGCTAAATGCTGTGGCGCCTCGTTGACCGAGCACCATCGTAAATTGTGACCAATCTTCCGCGGTGGGGCTCCCGAGTCCCATTGCCATCTTATATGCTACCGTTGATGAAGACACACGCCTTCGAAGCCCCCTCCTGCCCCCCTCGTGCATGTCGCTTTCGACCGATTGAAATTCGACGGCTAGCGATTTATCGATATTGCAAGCCTTGTATAGCGCGATATTGAATCAATTACTGGTAGCTTTGCGACGTTTTTGCAATGGCAAGAGATGGCAGATTGAATTGTAGAATATCTCGAGTAGAAAGTCACACACGGAATTTGGAGCAAATCAATTTTTCGTAAAATAGATAAGATCGCGGATCGGTGTAATAAAATTTCCTTTGCGTTCCTTCTTGATTGCCTAATGTATTTTTCAGTCATTTTCTATCACGCGATCACACATTGTTCTCTCTCCCTCGAAATTAATATCAGACACTCGAGTTCCACTGTTTTCCAGTATGTACCGGCTAGATCCAGTATTATTCCCAGCCTTAATAGTCTTAATTTTGCCGGGGAGACATGTGGTGTCGTCAGCCCTATGATTCTAGTATTGTGGTTATAATTGCGGCATGTTTGACATATAATTATTATATATTATCTCATAAATTTTTGAGGAATTACAAACTTGTAATTTAGTATTTTATTTTTTATATATTCTTGAATTGATATCATTTTGGAAAAAAATATTCATTCGTTTTGTATTAGCTTTGAATTAGGAAAATATTAATTTCTTCATTTTTATAATTAATTTTTGGACATTTTTATATAATCTTAGATATTAATGTAATTTCGAAACAACCGAATTTTGATTAATTCGTACTTATAATTGAACCTTTTTTCATTGTTTTTAAAATTTAAAGTAGTTGAAAGGATCATTTTTGCTTGCATCTAAATCATAAGTAATTTCCGAAGTAGTTAATAAGTAGTTTCATTCGTAAGATTGAACTAATGTTGTCCCGATATTACAGTCGAGACGGAAATGATCGCCGATCGGCAGGATAATCCCGAGGGTACGTATATATACCTCGTTGTAATCCGCCCTAGCGGGAGCAGATTGTCGAGAGAATAAGGGTGACCGCGCGGGAAGGAGGGTACGTAAGACCGAGAAATCGCTCGTTCAGCAAAAGTCCTCGGCGTCGACATCGCGCGACGCGCGTTTCTTGCAGGGGTATACATATCGATATGCGCGACCGAGAACGGTGGAATCTTCTCTCCGGGGCCTGTCGACCCTCTTTCCCCTTTTCCGTCGCGGAAAAGTCGCGTCGCGTAGAATCACGGAGATTTTCTCTCTCTATCTTCCATCTCGTTCTCTCTATATACGCGCGTACAAATAAGGCGTCCGGAGACAAATGACGCGGAGAGGGATCAGCGTGGCCCGACACAAAGCATCCCCCGAGCACCCTTCCCGGAGTCGGAGGTGACGTCACTGACAATGGAAGGTCGAGCTGTGATTAAAGATCGAGAGACTCCGTAAAAACTCCTTCAAAAGTACCGGTGACGGGGTAGCGCGCGGGGGAGA